AGATCACACCACTGTACTCCAGCCTGGGCAACAGAGTGAGACTCCATCTCAAAAAAAAAAGAAAAGAAAAGAAATTATGGTGGCAGGCTGGGCGTGGTGGCTCACACCTGTAATCCGAGCACTTTGGGACACCCGGCACTCAGGGTAGATCACCTGAGGTCAGAAGTTCGAGACCAGCCTGGCCAACATGGTGAAAACCTGTCTCTACTAAAAATACAAAAAATTAGCCTGGCATGGTGGCAGGCGCCTGTAATCTCAGTTACTTAGGAGGCTGAGGCAGGAGAGTGGTTTGGACCCAGGAGACGGAGGTTGCAGTGAGCCAAGATCACCCCATTGCCCTCCTGCCTGGGCAACAAGAGTGAAACTCCATCTCAAAAAAAAAAAAGAAAAGAAAAGAAAAGAAAGAAAGTATAGTCGTGGCCAGGCGCAGTGGCTCACGCCTGTAATCCTAATCCCAACAGTTTGGGAGGCCGAGGTGGATGCATCACCTGAGGTCAGGAGTTCACTGCATTCCAGCCTGGGTGACACAGTGAGACTCTGTCTCAAAAAAAACAAAGAGAAAAGAAGGAACGAAATTATGGTGCCTCTGACTAAATGATTAGAGTCAAGGGATATTTGGGAAGTAGGACTCGATCAGAAGCCCTCCTCAATTTCTAGAGATTAGCCCTTATTAATATGCCAGGTCTTATGGGAAGCTCTTATGTATTATGTCAATAAATTATTCCAAAAATATGAAAAGGTAAATATATTATTATTCCAATTTTATAGAGAGGGCAACTGAGGCTCAGCAAGATAAAGTTAACTGATCCAAAGTCACTATGGTTGGACCTTAGTTTTGAACCCAGGCTATTTGACCTTAGATTTGATATTTACAACCAATAAGATATACTTTATAGTGCTGGTATGAGAGACAAAGCCAGCAGCCATCCTCTATGGTAAATGTTTAACATCAGGCTTTTGCCATTTGGAGTGACTGATTTTGAGACATGACAACTAAGTCCACTGCTTGAGAAGGAAACAAAGATCACACAATAGTTTTGAAAGGGGAGATACACCATATAGGGAAATACATCTAACAGAAGCAAAACTTGCCAAATCTGCAAGGGAGGTACAAAGGCTATAGCAGTTCAAAGGAGGAGAAGGGGAGAAAAAACTTCCGAGAAAGCGAGGCTTGAGACAGACTTTGAAGGCTGTAGCTGGAAGGAAAGAAGCAGAAAAACAGCCCGCCCTAGTCCTTCCTACTCCCCAGAGCGGGGAAGTAGTCTGGTTATTTAGCATAGAGGAGCACAGGAGAAATAAAACTGGAAAGGGGCTGGGCACGGTGGCTCACGCCTGTAATCCCAGAACTTTGGGAGCCCGAGGCGGGCAGATCACTTGAGGTCAGGAGTTTGAGACCAGCCTGGCCAACATGGTAAAACCCCGTCTCTACCAAAAATACAAAAATTAGCTGGGCGTGGTGGCAGGCGCCTATAATCCCAGCTACTCGGGAGGCTGAGGCAGGAGAATCACATGAACCCAGGAGGCAGAAGTTCCAGTGAGCCGAGATCATACCAACTGCACTCCAGCCTAGGCAACAAGAGCGAGACTCCATCTAAAAAAAATAAAAAATAACAAAAATAAAACTGAAAAGGTACGTTGGGACTAGACTGAAGAGGTCCCTTCTATTTCTAAAATTCTGTGAAATTTTGATGTCAATAAGAAAGAATGAGAGCAAGAGATCATTATCTCAAAAACAGAATGCCTATAAAATTTGAAAGGGATTAGGAGAGGCAAAAAGGAACAAGACATCCAAAAATATTTCCACGTGGTTCCTCTAACGACAATGTAAATTCCTCATTGATAAAGACGGCATTTTATCTTTTTATCCTCACCTTGCATAATTATAGCTAACATTTATTGTTATAATTATAGCTAACATTCATTGTTGCTTACTGCATACCAGGCCCTGCTCTTAATAGCCTTCAAATGATTATTTCATTTGATATTCACAACAACCCTATGAGATAAGTACCATTATTACAGATAAGAAAACTAAAGTTAGAGGGCTGCTTGCCCACAGTTATGTGTGTGGGTGGGCAGAAGTTGACCTGTGATTCAAACCCAGGTATTCGGCCCCCATGCTTGGGCTTTGAAGCAATTAGCTGTGCAGCCTCCATGCCAAGCACCTAGTAGCTGCTCAGTGTTAATGTCAATTGAAAGAATAAATATTTGCCAACTAACATTTTACTATCACAGTCTCCTCAAAGCCCTCACTTAAGGTTTGTTTGGTGTCTCCTCTCACCTGCCTTATTGAGATAAACCATAAAATTCCATGGGTGCCACATGGGAGACTGCCTACCACTGCCTATTCCCCTGCCTCTGTCAACACTACTGCCACCCTCCCCACACACCCCACATGAGCCCAAGATGTCCCTTGCGAGGTTTCAGCTATCCTATGCTCTGTTGAGGATTGGAGATTGTTTGGGTATACTGGACATTAAAAAGTTTAGTCATAAAACCTACTACTACAGCAGCTTCTCTAATGGGCACCCAGTACCCTGGTATAGGAATTCATACTCTTCACAGAGTGTCTGGCAGGCCGGACCCTCATAGTCTAACACCAAAGGCAACCACAGTTCGTGACAAACATGTTCCATATTGTTTTTTGCTTCTCATCCTTTACGGAGGCCAAGCAAACCTTTCTGCCTTGAGCTATTTGTCACACATTTTAGTGATAATTTTTGTGAGAAGGAGAATGATTGCGAGTGATGGATGAGGTGAGCTGTGACAGCCCAGAACAGAGTGAGTAAGGGCTGAAGAATGCGGGTGGGTGTGAAATGGTGTGTATGGAGTGGTTGTCTTCTCTATTCCAATTCTGATCCTATTTAGGGAAAAGCACCAAAAGGAAGGGCCTCAAAACTCATTTAAATGAAGTTTACATAACTGGCCAAGAGTTATATGGGAAAACATACTTCCTTTCCATCCTATCCAAGAGTCTGCCCACAGAAATGCAGTCATCAATTCTAGAAATTTGCCCATTAACAGGAAATACCCCCATTGATACGAATCTAAAACATTAAATGTAAATCCACTTATCTATGATCTGAAATAAAGGGTATTTTCTGGGCTTGATTTGCATTACCAAGATAAAAAAGCACTTCAAGGCAGATGTCTGCCTTACTCACTTGACATCCTACCAATGGCCAAAGGAACTCAGAATGTGGCTTGTGTGTAAGTCTTATACCATATTTACTCCTTGACCTTTGAAATAATCAATTTTGTTTTTTTTAAGACAGAGTCTCACTCTGTCACCCACGCTGGAGTACGGTGGCGCCATCTTGGCTTACTGCAACCTCCGCCTCCTGGGTTCAAGCAGTTCTCCTGCCTCAGCCTCCTGAGTAGCTGGGACTACAGGCGTGTATCACCACACCCGGCTAATTTTTGTATTTTTAGTAGAGACGGGGTTTCATCATGTTGGCCAGGCTGGTCTAGAACTCCTAACCTCAGGTGATCCGCCCACCTCAGCCTCTTAAAGTGCTGGGATTACAGGCCACCACATATGGCCTCAACTTCCATTTCTTACAGAAGGTAAACCTTACTCTAATCTCACTAAGGATTCAGCTACAACCTTTCCAGATAGTTGAAGCAACTAAGAGGTCAGGCCTTCTGAAAGTGTAAACACTTCATAAGAAATGTGCCTTTCATTGCCCCAGGGATCCTGGGTTTACTTTGCCACTTCTTGCCTTTCCTATATATGTAGAAAAGCCACAATGCACCCGACTGTTGGCGCATCTGTAATGTATATTTCTGCTTATACAAGATGGCCATGGAAAGTTATTTTTAGTCATTGTTTGGAATGACTTTATAAAAATGCTTTGCATTTTTTAGCAAGACCATCATATAATTGTTTAAGATCAAGTACAACACATAAGGTCACTGGAGAGTTTGAGCGCATGTTATCCAAGATAGGATGGTAGAGCTCACATTACAGAAATGTAGTGTGGGAATAGTAAGGAGTTGTTTAATAGAAATTGCACACTTAAGTATGATGACTGTATGTGAATGTGGAGAAGTACTTTCTGTACCTGGCCACACAGTTTCAACCAAATGATCCCAAATAAAACAGTGGATGTTAACTGAATATCCAGGATTCGTAAAGTTGTTTTCTTCTTAATGACTTTGAGATCTCTTTATTTCTCAGTCTTCTTCTGAAATAAAGACTGACTACCTATCAATTATAATGGACCCCGATGAAGTTCCCCTGGATGAGCAGTGTGAGCGGCTCCCTTATGATGCCAGCAAGTGGGAGTTTGCCCGGGAGAGACTTAAACTGGGTAAGATACTTGTTCAACAGATTTATAAACCTATACTGAGTACATATTACATTAAAAGCACTGTGCTTTGAGAGATGCAAAAGTAAACCAGACCTGGGATTCTACCCTCCAGCTGCTCACAAACCATCAAGGGAGATGGACACAAAAGTAAATAATTCCAAAGCAATGCTCAGATAACAGTACAAGGTGACAGGCAGCACCTGTTTGTTCATTCAACAGTTATTGGGCACCTTCTCTGAGCAGCAGACACTGGTCTAAGCACTGGAGATGCAAAGGTGTGTGCATCTCTTCCCTCAAAGGCTCACTCTGGAGATAGGCGCAAAAGTGATAAGTGAAGGGGGACGGGGAGAGAGGTGTTCCAACAGGAGGCTTACAAGTACACGTACTCTTACGTAATGAAACTGTTGAGGGATTAGAAATATGTGATCCAGAACGTAATTGAGGGTGGCAAGGAACAGTGAAATCAAACATTTGGTGAAAGAGTTGGTGCTCTTCAAGGCCATGGATCAAAAAAACCCTCTGCACAAATCCACAAATTACATACTTCGATTTTCCTGGGACTGTCCAGACCAAGTAGAAAGCCCTAGAGGAGTCATTTAAGTTTCACTTTTGAAGAGCAAAGACTGTTGTTTTCCAGGTAGCACAGATGCTATAAACAGCAGGCAAATGTGCTTTCCCGCAGCCTACCTTCCAGTTCCTCCAGCTCAGACGTCACAAAGTCCATTAATCTCCAGCCTCTGGTGCTACAAAACAATTGAAACCTCAATTACTCCTACCCAAAATGTTTGGATTGTGGCTTCTGAAAGTTTTCCACTCACTCCTGTGTATGCCAGAGTCATTAGTAGTTGAAACAAGGAAAACAGATTGTGGATCCGGTATTCTTGGAGCTTGTCACTCTCAGTGTGGAGAGCCTGTTGTTCCAAATTCAACAGTATCGCCCCTTTCCTTACAAGCAAATGATACTGGGGTGAGGGACGTAGGGGGCAGAGAGGGGAAAATGGCTTTTGTTTTTCTCTTGGGCTTTGAAATGATTCTGCTTACATTGAGAAAGGACTGGCCTCAGGAGCGTGTTCTATTTGGCTTGGGGAGGAAACTTGGAAATCAGTTAAAAGCTGGAGAGACAGGAGAGAGCCAGCAATGGCTGTGGACGGGAGAAAAACTCAACTACATTTAGAGTAGTTAAGGGCAGGTGGCACACTGGATGAGTTCCTTCTGCAAGTCTTAATTATATGGCAGCTAGCCCAGCCCCTCAGTGACCTCGGCAGGAAATAGGGGATAATTTTCCCACAACCACGAGCCATTCTCAGCCCACATTGCTTTCCAGAGTTATTAGTCATAATCAAACGTGCTTCTTCCAGTACAGGACACATGAGCTTTCTGTCCCATCGCTTCATTCCTTCCTAGTATCATTGTGATCCACACCGCATCACAGATTGCTAATCCTCTGCCAGAATTCCCCTGGGGCTCTGTGGGTTTAAATATTCCCATTTCAGGATTATGATTTTCAGTCTCCTTGTTAAAGATCATTCTTATCGCTCTTTTCCTTTCCAGAGTTGCCACATGCTAGGATTTGGCTAATGTCCATTTGAGTGTCTCTGATGGGTGAGAAAAAGTGTGTCAAGTCTGCTAACTTTGTCTTTCAATGCAGAGTGTGGCTGCAAGGCCCGGAGGTATACTCCTCTGATTGATTACCGTGGGAGCAAGGAGGCCCAAGACTTGTTTATTTCTTAAGCCAAATAAATGACAAAGTAATTTGAAGTAATGTCTAGCAACTGAAAATAACCCAGATTATGTCCAGATAGAGAGAAAAGGCTGTTTTAACTGGCAGTTATACTGGCGTTGTAAATGTAGAGAAATACACAAGGTTATATCTGGTTTCAGCTGTGTCTACTGTGTTGGTTGCTATCAGCAGCCCTAGTGAGTGAGGTTGGAATTTATAGTACCTGATAGATGGATGCAGTTGGAGCTTGGGTCAAAGGTGTTGCTACCACTAAAATTCCTGAAATCCAAGAACAAAAGGAACCTTTAAAAAAAAATGATTCCTCACTAACCCATGGGAGGGAATTCAGCTTCTATAAATTTATCACAGAACTTAGGAGATAATTCAGCTCCTATAAATTTATTAAAGTTAGAATAGGCCGGTTGGTGGCTCACGCTTGTAATCCCTGCACTTTGGGAGGCTGAGGCAGGTGGATCACCTGAGGTCAGGAGTTTGAGACCAGCCTGGCCAACATGGTGAAACCATGTCTCTACTAAAAATACAAACATGAGTCAGGTGTGATGATGCGTGCCTGCAGTCCCAGCTACTCAGGAGGCTGGGCCAGGAGAATCATTTGAACCCGGGAGGTGGAGGTTGCAGTGAGCCGAAATCATGCCACGGCACTCTGGCCTGGGAGACAGAGTGAGAGTCCATTTCCAAAAAAAAAAAAAAAAAGAAGAAGAATGTTCAACATTGCATCTTTCTATTGGAAAATAATCAAAAGTCAGAATTACCTAACATAGCTGACCATACAGGTAGTCTGGAGTTTGGCAAGCGAATGGTGCCTGGGCTGGTGCTGCCTCTTGTAAGACCAGCCCTGAATGCCAGAGACAGCCCAGCCCATGCTGCCATGCACTCTCCCCAGTGTCCAGGGCCCCTGGCCAGGCCAAAACATTCTTGGAGGAGATTCCAATATCCTTGCATTGTATGGGAATGACCTAGCACACTTCCGAGCTAGTTAGTGGCATTCCAGGAAACACTGAGGAGAATTTTAAGGGAAAAGAAGGATCAGGTGAGGTCAAGTCTGATGCAATTGGGCTCCCCTGAAACTGGAACCATGGGTCTGCAGAAGGATTCCAACACATCAGATGACTAAGGAGCCCATAACAGCTTCATGCTGTTTTATGAGGCAGCAGTCGGCTTCCAAGAGAATAAATGAAAAGACTGAAGGAAGCCAAATGAAAGCCAGTTTATTCTCACTGATAAGAAGCAAAGTCCCAAACACTTGTTAAAATAAAATGTGTTGTGACGGGATGTGGGGGCTGAAACTATGGAAAGTGCAAAGGATGCCACTTACCCCAAACATTCAAGAGTCTTAGGAGTGTGAGGAGAAAAGATCCGGATATTTCTCAGGCTCAGGACACTTTTCTTTTTAGATGGCAGAAGGCACTGTGGAAGAAAAACATTGATTTTTTATTCCAAATAAAACAAGGAATAAACCTCCAACCAAAATGCACTAGTTTTTACTAGTATAGAGAAGGCATCTGCCAGCGCTGTTCCCACACCTGATTTTCAGATGTAGCACCTTCAGGATCCACTGAAGGCTCTTTTATTTCAACTCAAGGGTCCCCATCCTGGTCTATTTCTTGGACAATTTTACACGAAGAAGGAAGCAGAGGCTGTAGCTCTGCCCATGTTGCATGCTCTGGGAGGAATGTCGTTTAGTAATCACCACAGGAGCATGTTTCACAAAAAGAGAAACGTGTCATCTCTCTGGTGTTCCCTCTGAATGCAGAGCATGTCCCTGCAGACAGCCACACAGAGGCCCTAATGATGACACTGGTATAACTGAAATTTTCATACATCCTAACTGGACACCTGGGGTGGTGGGTAGTGGAAGACATTAAGCAGAGCAAGGTAAAGACATTTTTGTCACTCAGTAGTTGGGCATAAAAGTAGAAAGCTTCTAATATGATGAGGAAGAAGCAAAGCTTCATTACAAACTACAAGAAACAAACAAACAAACAAACAAACAAAAATGTCCTTTGGAGAAAGGGAGGGGAGTATGAGGAGGGAAGAAAGGAAAGAAGGTTAATTAACTGAAGGCACATTATCAGACAGGTCTAAGAAAGAGCACTTGGTTGGGAAAGGAGGGGTTGTGTTAAATTAACAGTCTAACTGCCAGGATTTATAATAGTTTTAACCAACCCATGGTATTCTGTCATTTCCCCTTCCCCCAAGAAGAGCCAAAAAAGAGTGACTTATTTCACTTACTCTTCTTTGAGCATATCATGCTAGAGGGGTACCATTTCTCTGGGTTCTACTGAGCTGTTTCCTGATGTGCAAAAGGAAGTTCCCCGATATAAAAGGTAGCTTAGGGTACTCCAGGGAGTGCCCTCCCCAAAGGGCATCAATCTCAGGGTCTCTATCCCACGGGCCCCTCTAGTTACCTATGACTAGGAGACTCGCTTTGTGCATCCCACAAATTCCTGAACACTACTCTCCATTGGGCAGCAATATACGGTAATAACAGATAGCACCAGGCACCAAGTTAGGTTCAAGGAAGATTCAGACATGGTCCTTGCCCCGCTTTACTCAGGGGGGCTCATTCTAGGACAGGGAAGGAAACATATTAACAGTCATTAGAGCATAGCATTATGGAGACCATGGAAGAAACCTTGCTTGGTTATTGCATTTAGCAACTACCTCTCCGGGGTTGAAACCAATCTCTACCAGCAGTTGACCAGGCTCTTGTGCTGAACCATGAGGATTCGTAATATTCATATAAGACACATTAGAAAGACTGGGAATATTTTGCCTGGTAGGGAAGTCGGAGAAATGACTTAGTGATTATTTGAAAGTTATGAGCTTTATTATAATCCACAGTAGTAACCACCATATTCTATTTCTCCCTTTTTGCTGAAAACAGATGAGAGAAAATGACTGCAAATGGCAAGAAAAAGAGCTTAGGTTCCACACAGGGAAGTCTTCTTGGCCATAATGTTATCAAACAATGGAACGGACTTGGTCCCATCTCTCCTATGTGAGGACCTTGTGGAAAGGAAACTGGACATCTCCCTTCACTGAATGCCTTCTAGGGACTTACTCTATCTCTGAAGGATGTGGGGCCTCAGGAACAGAGTTAAGAGTTGAAAGGAAGAGGCTCCAGAAACAAGTCCCTTACTTTGTCTCTTTTAGGGTCAGTTCACTGGAGATTCCATGCCTCACATGCACACATAGGAAAAGGCATTTCCTTCCTGAAAAAGACTTAAATTCACCCTATTGCTTTGGCAAACAAACCACTGTCTTCTCTTCATTGTAGGCAAATCACTTGGAAGAGGGGCTTTTGGAAAAGTGGTTCAAGCATCAGCATTTGGCATTAAGAAATCACCTACATGCCGGACTGTGGCTGTGAAAATGCTGAAAGGTATGTATGCTGTAGTTTGGCTTTCAACTGACGCATCACCATTTTGCATTTCCTAAATGTTGGTACAAGTTAGATATAGCCTGGGAACAGACACAAGCTTTTCCTGCCCCGGCCACATAATTTTCTTCTACTGCTAGAGGCCTCTTTGCTCATGAGTTTTACATTAGGCCAGCACGAGCTCAGAATAAACCTTGTAAATGGAACAATCCAGCACAGTCCACAGGAAAATGATCTCTGTCACCTCAAAGGTCTTTCTCTTCTCACATCACAGACTGTAGACAACAAGGGACTTAAGCCCATTGTAACTGCAGGTTCAAATTTTGGCATGATCCACTGTGATGCTGTAATGGAAACTTAGCAGCACATCCTAAATCCCAATGGCTTTGCTTGGGCTTGACCTGACTATAAAGTAAAACTATAAAGCTAGAACAATTGAGTTGACCAGAACTCTAAACTATTTTATACTAACAACCTCAGCCATAAAACATTTCCTCTTTAGCAATTTGAAAAACTGAATTATCTTTCTAGTGTTGAAACATACTACTACTCTGTGAAGCACTGGGAGGTAGAACCAAATCACACAGTGACTTATGCCCAACACCAAAGACAGATTGAAAATGAAAATCAGTGAAAATTGTGTGAACCAAATGTCTCAAAGACTCACAGGTCCTTTACAGTGTAGAAACTACTTCATTTCCTCATCTGTAATGGAATTTTATGATGCTTCAATTCAACAGAACTGAAAACTCAAAAAGCAGCTTTTAACTTTCCAAAGTCTCCAGGATATTGCTGGGAGATTTTGAAGCCCAGCAAGCTGTGAGTCCAACTACACAGGTACCTAGTACAGGCTCCAGGAGAAAGGGCTGTTTGCGTAGAGAGACTTCAAAGTTCTTAATCTTCTAGCAATAACTCCATTATTTCAAAAGGCCCATGTAAATATATTTTCAACTTCAAAAGCCTGTACTCCTCAAGAAAAAACTAATAAAACTCTGCAAAGAACCTGCCAGTTCTACTCTGAAAGTAGTCTGGGAAGGAGTTTGGCATCCACAAGTCAGAACTTTTGTTTGGAGTAGACTTCCCAGACGATGGCAGGTATTTCTGTCAAAATAGAGGCATGCTAGCACCCTCCCCTCAAGAACCCCAGATTCTGAAGAGAAGAGGCATCAACTAGAAAGCACCAGACTAGATGCTTTTCATATTAGGCTGAACCATATGAAACGGCCATTTTTCTTATGTCCTTTCAACAGCTTTGTGAGGTAGACATTATTATTCTGTTTGCAGATGAGGAAACATGGCCAAGAAAGGTTAAAGAGCCTCTGCAAGGCCACACAGCTGCTCAGTGTAAGTCAGGGTTCGTGTGCGAAAGTCTTCCAGCTTTGAATGCAGTGCTCTTTCCTCCACACCAGTCTGCCACAAAAGAGGGGCTGCAGAGGTCTGGCCTCCTGGAATTGGCCCACTGCTCCAAAACCCTGAAAATGATCCTGGCCTGGTTTATGGAGGCAATCCAGTATCCAACCTAGAGATAGGTGGAAACTAAATCTGGAAGCAACTGTTTCCTCAGCTAGTCCCATTTCCCTTCTTGCTGCCACAAATTGTCCTCTAGGAGAGGCAGCTTTGATGGCCACACTAGTCTGTTGGGGATCCAAGATAACTCCTGTGGCCCTGCCTATAAATACAGCAAGCTGAACCAGAGCCTGGTTTTTTTCCTTCAAAGAGGAAAGGGTTATAGGGAGACGAATGAGTTTGAAAGAAGATTCTAACTTGAGATTTTTTTTTTTTCCCTAAGAGACAGGGTTTTACTCTGTCACCCAGGTTAGAGTACAGTAGCATGATCATAGTTCACTGCAGTCTCTGCTTCTCAGGCTCAAGCAGTCCTCCCACCTCAGCCTCTCAAGTAGCTGGGACTACAGGCTCACACCATCACACCTAGCTAATTAAAAAAAAACTTTTGTGTAGAGATAGTCTCACCATCCTACCCAGGCTGGTCTCAAACTCCTGGGCTCAAGCAATCTTCCTGTCTCAGCCTCCCAAAGTTCTGGGATTACAGACGTGAGCCACTGTAGCTCAGCTTTTTTTTAAAGGCTCAGAGAATCTCTTCTATGTAATACAGAGTGCATGTGTCGTGTCTTCATAAATGCCTATTTCTTTTTTTTTTTTTTTAGCCATCAGCATTGATTATAAAAGACTGCCAAATCACCCACTCTATAAAATTCCTTAAAAAAAAATTCATTCAGCTTTCTTGCTTAAATTAATTGGCCTTGTGTTTCTTGGAGATATAAAAAAGGCATGGCCCGGCACGGTGGTTTATGCCTGTAACCCCAGCACTTTGGGAGGCCGAGGTGGGCGGATCACGAGGTCAGGCATCCAAGACCAGCCCATGGCAAAATCCCATCTCTACTAAAAAAACAGAAATTAGCCGGGCGTGGTGGTGGGTGCCTGTAGTCCCAGCTACTTGAGAGGCTGAGGCAGGAGAATCACTTGAACCCAGGGGTTGGAGGTTGCAATAAGCCGAGATCATGCCACTGCACTCCAGCCTGGGTGACGGAGCGAGACTCCGTCTCAAAAAAAAGAAAAAAACAAAAAAAGCATAAAGTGAAACAAAGGCCATGAGTCAAAAGCTCTTTCAAAGTGTCCTTGAGCAAAAATATTAATCTTTTTAGGCCTTACACTCATGTCTGAAATAAGAAGAGTAATTGTGTTTATTTATTCCAAAATATTCGTTGAGCATCTACTGTAAACCAGCCCTAACCCCATGCGCAGGCTTTGGAGTTTATCTGGTTATTATTAAAAATGATTTGTGCTTATGAAATACCATGTTGGTATCTACCACAATGTTAAATGCACATACCTCTAACCCACTTCCAGGACACTGTCCTACAGAAACACTTACATGTGTGCACAGAGATTACACAAAGACTATCACAGTATTAATTGTAATAGCAAAAAGACTACAGACACTCTAAATGTCAGGGACACCATTAATCAATTAAAAAGAATGGGCCCACAGTGGCCACCATTAACGTGATTAACGTGCTGAGCACGGTGTCTCACACCGGTAATCCCAGCACTTTGAGAGGCCAGGGCGGGTGAATCACCTGAAGTCAGGAGCATGGTGAAACCCTGTCTCTACTAAAAATACAAAAATTAGCCAGGCATGGTGGCGTACACCTGTAATCCCAGCTACTCGGGAGGCTGAGGCATGAGAATCACTTGAACCCAGGAGGAGGAGGTTGCAGGGAGCTGAAATCACACCACTGCACTCCAGCCTGGGTGACAGAGTGAGACTCTGTCTCAAAAAAATAAAAATAAAAAATAGAAATAAATAAAAAGAATAGAAAAAGTCTCTGATTTATTAAAAGGAAGGAAACAAATTTTTTAAAATAGACTATATATGTATATGATCTCATATATATATATAGGACCTCTGATTGAATATACATATTTATAAATGCATAGAAAAAGGTCTGAACACCAAACTATTAACAGTGGCTGCTTCTAAGAAGGCAAGTGGGTTGGAGTGGCTTTCACTTTTTATCTAGATCATTTTACTTCGTATCTTTTTATTCCAACTTATATTGTTGAAATATTTTACAGCAAGATTATTTGATTTTTATATTTCTAAAAATAATTTAAAATGTTTAAATGCCTTGCAAATTAACTAATAAGAACAAACAGAACAAACTCAATTTAGGCTTTAGACTCTGCTAATTCTTGGACTGATAATGCTTATCTCTGAGATTGAAGTCGAAGTCAGATGCTATGGATCCTCACAACCCAAGATAACCCTGTGAACTCCAGAGAGGAAAGGGTTATAGGGAGAAAATAACACATTACAAAGATGTTTACAAAAGTAGCCATTCTGCCCTGGCAGGCCCCTTGTGCTCCTTCTCTGTGACTCTCCAAAGGGAGAAGGTGAGAAGAAAGGACGTGGAAGTGTACTCCCTGCCTGGTGGGTTCTTGCTGCACCTGGTTCCGACAGAGGGAAGCCTTTGGAAGGCACTTTCACGAGGTGCTCAGTTCTGAGTCAGCGCATTGCTGAACAGAACTAGGTCCACCAAGAGGAAATGTCCAGTGACTAACCCCACTACTGTGCTGGGCCTAACTGTAATCAAAAGGATGTTGGCTCAGGAGGGTGGGAGTAATGAAAACAGTCTGGAGACTTGGCCTCTCTGCAGAATGTGGGGAAGTTAGTGAAGCAACCGGCTGAGCATTGACAAACAAGGAGGGCAAGAATGCCGCCTCCGGCGGAAGGAGCCCCATTGTCCTGTCGCCCTGACTCTTCCTTGCTTCTCACACAGAGGGGGCCACGGCCAGCGAGTACAAAGCTCTGATGACTGAGCTCAAAATCTTGACCCACATTGGCCACCATCTGAACGTGGTTAACCTGCTGGGAGCCTGCACCAAGCAAGGAGGTAATGGAGAAGGGGAGGGCCGGCTCCATCTCCCCCTGCACAGGTTGGGAGAACAGTTCTCTGCCTTAAAGCTCCTTCTCCCTGGCACTGTGCTTCCTCGCCTCCGGGAAAATGGCCTCCCTCATAGCTCCAGAAGAAACAACTTGTGCATCTACAGAAGGGTGCTCCCATAAATCCCTTCCCTGTGCAGCTAATTTAAAGATTCTGAAGAGGACTCCCTTTTAGATCTCCTTCCACAGGCTCTAGGCCAAGCAGAGGGCACTTTTCTCTCAGGATGGGTTTGAAGAAGTGTGGTCAGAGCCAAGGTAAAAGGTGGAAGGTTGCATATTCCTTGAAGCTTCACCTAAAGGAATGAATGAATCACTACTGGTAGGGTCCCAGGAGGAGGTGATGTGGGGGCCCTTCCCTCCAGATCCACCATGCAGATAGACCTTACCCAAGGGAGCAGGGACAGAGCCGTGCTTTATGATTAACAGCTCCAGCATGTTGTCGCAGATCTTTCTTTCCGTATGGCAGGGTTAGAGCTTGAGAGTAGATGTGTGATCACTGTTTGCGCCAGCAAGGTGCAAAGGAGCTGTGCATGCCGATGTTTTCTCCAGCTCTCAAAAGAGGTAGCAGGGATGAAGGGTAGCTGGGGAAGACCTATCTGCCAGGGGCAGAGGTGGTTAGAGAGGCGCTAACGGCCGGGGAGGCCAGAAAGAGTCGGAGGGACCTGGCCAGGGCTCCGCCTGCTTCTCCGTCATCCTCGGTAACATTTTCTCCAGTTCTTTGTCGTGGCAACCTCATTCTGTTCGCCTCAACTGCATCTGTAAAACTGACCAGGGATAATGAGACAGCCTACCCTCATGCGCGGCCGTCAGCTCCCTGCAGCCGGGCGCCAGTTATGGAAGCAGCTCTGAGGAGAGTGGCCGGACCCCAGGCAGGTGTCGAGCTCTGCGGCAACCGCCGCCATAGAGGGGAGATAAAAAACTCTGGAAGCAACTTCCCGTTCGGGAACCTAGGGGGAAGATGAGATGCTATCAGGATTTCTAGCGTGTCCTCATAGTAAGAGAAAACCACTCCACCAGGACCAGCCCAACTTCTGCATAACACAAAAAAGAACTAGCGGCTTTTGGGCTCCCGGCATGCCCTGGGCGGCGGCGGGTGAAGCAGCGCCAGGGTCACTCCCCTTTGACCCGGAAGTGGTCCTTGCTTTGTGGGTTGCGTGCCCAGCCCAAGCACGCAGTGGAAACGCAGAGCAGGAGAGAGGAGGCCTTCAGAGCACCACATGGGCGCCCCAGTGCAGCTGGACTTCCTTTCCAACCCTCTTGCTTCCTTCAGACCGGGGTCGGGTTGACAAACCAAGGTCAGCCTGTGAGCTTAAAATGGTTTGACCTTTTTCAATAGTTGGGGGAAAAAAATAAAAAATGAAAATAATATTTCATGACATGAAATTGTATGAAATTCAAATTTCTGTGTTCACAGTTTTCTTGGAGCACAGTTATACTTGTTTGGTTGTTTCCAAGCTACAAAGGCAGAACTGAGTAGTAGCTCCTTGGTCTGCAAAGCCTGAAATGTTTACTAGCTGGACCTTTACAGGAAGAGTTTGCCGACTCCTGCTTTAGATACTCTGGCAAGCCCCAAGGCAAATTGCGCAGACACTGCTGGGGAGAGACGGCCAGGTAGCCATCTCTGCCCTGGGAGGGAGGGAGGAGCTGCTTAATAGTCCCAGGACTGGTGTGACAGTAACCAGAAGCCCCTCTACTTGCAAGGGTCTGGTTAAGAGGCAGAGAGGCTGGCTTTTGCCTCTCCCCTCCTCAAAGGTATTTCTGTCCTCCTTCTTCTAATCCTTTCTCTCTAAAGCTTCTGCACTGCCCCCCACCTCCATTTTTTTTTTTTTTTTCTGTTTCAATTGTGTTCTTTAAACGCCACCTTAGGTTAAACTGAAAAAGTCACCGTATTCTTGGGCCTCTCATCCTTAAATCGCATCCCTCGGCCCCACTAATACAAAGGCTGGTTGATTTGAGGTTTCTCAGGCAGGCTGAAGGCTGGCAAATGGCTGACTGGCTTGGTGTGGCTGAGCATGAGCATGTGCTGTTTTGGCTGCAGGGCCTCTGATGGTGATTGTTGAATACTGCAAATATGGAAATCTATCCAACTACCTCAAGAGCAAACGTGACTTATTTTTTCTCAACAAGGTAAGGATTTTAAAAGTTGGAGTTTTTTAAAGATAGCAATGAGTTTTCATTTAGTCTGTAGCAACATAAAGCAAGAGAAACCTGTATTGTTCTGTTAATGATTAAGCTTAAAACTCAATCTCTGCTGCTTCTCCTTTTTTCATGTTTTTTTTCCCCCTGATAATCTGTTACACTCTAGTGTGGATAGCACAGAGAATCATTTGATCCCTTTGTGTGTATGCAGCCATAATTTGAGAGTAAATCTACTAGCCACCTATCTAAATATCTATCAATAACTTTCTGTCTTTGTCTTCCTATGTATGTGTGCATGTGTATATACATGCAGACATATACAAGTCACTTATTTCTTTAAGGAAAATAATAGTTAATATAATTGTCTCCATTTATTAGGTTAGATTTTGACTAAGGCTAAATCAACTGAGTGACTTGTACAATCAGCAGTAGACCAATGATGGGGCTAGGGACAGAAAGCATTATCTTTCCTTTCTACTGCCCTTTCTCCCACTTCCTGACACCCTCACTACCCATGTCATCCCTACATATACTCTGAACCAGCCTTATCCCTAAATAAAAGCTGTGTAGTAAAAGGAACATGTGGACCCAAGACCTAAGGGCAAACAAGGTTTAAAAGACATTATTGGACCGGCCCGGTGGCTCATGCCTGTAATCCCAGAACTTTGGAGGCCGAGTCGGGTGGATCTTGTGAGGTCAGGAGTTCGAAACCAGCCTGGCCAACATGGTGAAAATCCGTCTCTATTAAAAATACAAAAATTAGCCAGGCGTAGTGGCCCGCGCCTGTAATCCCAGCTACTAGGGAGGCTAAGGCAGGAGAATCGCTTGAGCCTGGGAGGCAGAGGTTGCAGTGAGCCAAGATCATGCCACTGCCCTCTAGCCTGAGCAACAGAGTGAGACTCCATCTCAAAAAAAAAAAAAAGAGATTATTGAATGGAGGAGAAATAATTTACTAAAACTTTGCCAGTGTGACGTATGGCACCAATACTGTGTCCTTCTCTGAGCTGAAGAATTCCAAGGGACAGTGATTCAACATTATTAACTAGTAATCAGCAACACTGGTGATGAACCCATGTAATGTGGTGGTTAAGCACTGAGACTCTGGAGTCAGACTTCCTGGATTCAAATCCTGTCTCTACCTCTCATGAAATCTGGGAACGCAGATTACTCAACCTGTCTGTTTCAGTTCCCTCATTTATTAAATGAAGCTTATAATAGAATCCAGCTGATGGGATTATCGGGAGAATGAAAATCTCTCAGTTAAACATTCAATAAATGTTAATCACCGTCACCACCACTGTCATTATCATCATCAACATCATTGACCTACTAAGATAGAAAAATTGGGTGAGTCCAACTTCGTGCCACTGATCTACATGGTGGATAAAATGTCTGAAATCCAAGAATGATGTCCATCTTTATAATGTGGGCAAGAATCTTCACACACAAATAAGAACCACTGGACAGCTGGCCAATTCTCTCATCCCTCAAACTTTGATCTAATCAAAGACAGAGGTGTTCTACCAGACAGGCAATATATGCAAGAACATCATTTTCCCCAGGTTTAAGTCAGGTCCTCTAATAATTAGAACTCTTTTTTTTTTTTTTTTTTTTTTGAGACAGAGCCTCTCTCTGTCACCAGGCTGGAGTGCAGTGTGCGATCTCAGCTCAGTACAACCTCCGTTTCCCGGGTTCAAGTGATCCTCCTCCCTCTACCCTCCCGAGTAGCTGGGATTACAGGAGCCCACCACAGTGCCCAGCTAATTTTTGAATATTTTGGTAGAGACAGAGTTTCACCATGTTGGCCAAGCTGGTCAAACTCCTGACCTCAGGTGATCCACCTACCTCAGCCTCGCAAAATGCTGGGATTACAAGTGTGAGCCACCGTGCCCGGCCTAATAATTAGAATCTTGAAGTTGAAAGGGATCTTTGTGATCAGTTGTTTCATACTCGCAGGCTGTAGATATGCTCAGAGAAGTCAAGTGATTGGCTTAAGGATTCACACCTACCATGAGGTGAAGTCAGAAGGAGAAAGAACTCAGCTGTCTTGACTCCTCCTCCACTGCCTTTTCTGTGCACCACACTAAATAAGGTGAAAAAAGTATAAGAAAAAGTGGAAAGTGGTGCCTTGGGCTGAGGGCAGTACAAATTCCCCTTAGTCCTGAAATTTTGGACTGACTTCAGGAAGAGCTAAGCCAGCAGAATACCCTAGGGACCTGGGCAGGATGGAACGTTTGGGTTTGTGCGTCCTTTGTTTTGAAGAGTTTGCTTCCTTCTCTGGCTATATTTAATGATTTGCCTCCCTGTGCAACTTGGTGGAGCTTAGTGTTTTTGTGGAAAATCCATGGCTGTCTTTCATATTTGGAAGATAAAGGTAAAGGAAAGACAAAACCAAAAGGCTAAATTGCAAATGGAATACTTCATTTTCCAAATAAATTAACTGGGATCCTTAAATATGGTTTGTAATAAATTCACTATATTCTGCCAGAGTCCCAAGAGTTCAGTAAATTACGTTTATTTAACAAAAGTGGTACTGATAAGCAGAGCTGAATATACCATTGATGGGGAGTCAGGAAGGGAGTGTGGGAGCCTGAGTTTTGGCCCTTGGGGACGTGCCTAGGCTGTGACTTCTGGGTGCCTTGGGGACGAAGGCTGCCCAGGGAGAGTTTTCACACGCAGAGCCCTGAGTGAGCATGTGGAGCATTTTTCTCCCCACACTATTGCCAGCGCTTTGTCTGATGCCTTCTGTCCCACAAAAGATCTTGTGAAAAATAAAATTCCAGTCCCCAAATGAACAGAATCCAATATAACTGCATTGTGGAAACACAATAACAAATAGTGAAAGTCTTTACCTGCCCTCAGGTGGGCTACCTGCGATGGCAGTGGGTATTTACTCTGAGGCCTGCCTCCCTCTGCAACCCCGGAAGGTCTCTTTTCAGGGACTGGGAACCTTGGTGCCCTTTTGGCTTTTAGGCTAGGTTAGGGCTGTCCCTCCGGAAGCTTTCTCCCTGTGCTCTGCTTGCTCCTACTGTGCCCTCTAGTGGAGGGATCGCTCTTGCTTTGTGACATTTCTAGAAAAGCCCAGGAAGGATGGGGGAGGCGGGTTAATCCTAGCACTGCCATACCATGCAAATAGATCAAGGGACACCACTGAACCCCAGTCCCTCTCTGCCTCTGCCTCTGCCTCAGTATTGCTGTCTAGCAGAATCTAAGCTAGGAACATGGTCTAATTATAAAGCCACTGAAAGTGCTAGGTTTTTAGAGTGTCATAGTTACTAGATGAATTACAAAAGGCAATAAAAATCTTTTCTGGTTTCCCATGAACACCCAGAACCGACAACTCCTTTCCTATGAATCATAAAATAATAGCATAATAGAGCTTTTCAGAAGAGGATAATGAAACTCAGAAAAGTAAGGTGACTTGCCCAGGATCACATGATTAATGGAAGAGCCAGATGAACCGGGGCTTGAATGCGCAGTCCAGGGTGAAAGGCCATTACTACCCTTGTTAGAATCAACTCGTATCTTTGTTTTGAATGGAAGAGAAAAAAAAGCAATGTCCATGTTCCCTCCTTCCCCAAGGAAACCTGGGAAATTGGTAACTATAGCCTTCTCTTATGACTCCTCCTAGGGGTTACAGAGTGAAGCACCAAGCACACTGGGGATCCTTTCCTCTCAGTGATGTCATCCTTCACAAGATGGCGTGTGGCATGGAAGAGTGGTTAAGGGCACAGACGTGGGCACCGACCAATCCTGGGTTTAAGCTTTTTTTTGAGCTGGAGTTTTGCTCTCATGGCCAGGCTGGAGTGCAATGGCGTGATCTCGGCTCACTGCAGCCTCCACCTCCTGGGTGCAAGCAATTCTCCTGCCTCAGCCTCCTGAGTATCTGGGATTACAGGCATGCACCACCATGCCCAGCTAATTTTGTATTTTTAGTAGAGACA